CACATGGGACACCAGCTCAACCAGGTGAGCTATAGCGGCGCCCCCAGCACAGTTTTTCAAGCATTAAGATTGGAAAAGTTAGTCAGAGCTAATGCTTTTAAAGCCAGGCGAACAGGAAGCATTTATTTGGAGGTAAAAGCTTAAATGAGCACAAATGGGTACTGAACCCCAGCGATAAATAGAAATTTTTCAATACCTGAGGATCGACAGGCTCCGGCGTTAACGGTTGCAGAAAATGTTCCAAACAAAACTAACGAGTCGTTTGCATGTGAAAGCAGAAACATGATCAATCTGTCATTAAAAGCTGGTTACATACAGATGAAGAAATGTTTCACTGCTGAGCTCATAGTTCATCACTAACCAGGTACACCGTGTAAACTACATTGCACAAACACAGGCAATGATTAAAAGTAAGTATTCTCCAGCTGTTTGTTTAATTGTCTGTGGTTATAAATATAATCTGAAATTCAGAGCCTCATCTGACTGTTGATTTCATCATCACATAACAGCAGGATCTAGTGACAAACTGTCTGACTGGATTTCACTGTTATCTGACAAAATGTTGGTGTTAGTGGTAAAAGAAGTACTTCAGCTGTTTTTTTTCCCACTAAACTAATAGAACCACAGTTACAAGACTGTCAATACTGCATTAATTTAATACCTAAAGTGGAGCGTGAAAGAGGTTTTATCAGCACAATGTCCTGACATTTACCTAAGATCTGTTCAAGGTGGACCTTTTAATTCTGATACAATGCTGGACAGTAGAATGAAACACAATGCAGAGTATTTTGTTTTGTGAGTAAAACCTGTGACCCTCTCCACAGAGCTCTGATCATCCCATCAACACAACATTAGTGGCTATGTAAAATTGAAGTCTTATACGTTATGTACAAGAAAATATAGCAATCTTTATTCTGTTCTTACCTTGTTCAGTTTTTTTCTCTTCATAAAACAAGACAAACTAACAAAACAATCAAAAGTACTGCTAAGAACACCGTGAAAGTACCAGACTGATAAGCAGTAGTTTTACTGTTAAATATTAACAATATCTTTCCTTATAAACGAGTAAGGAAGGAATGTGTGAGCAAGAGAAACGGTCTGAAAGGACAATGTGAAAAACTTCTTTGCTTTGTTTTCTCTAACAAAAAAAAAAAAAAAGGTCGCAATAAACTTTTAAAGTCTGATGTGGAAAGTTTCGGAAATAAACAGCACAATTGTGGATTAATTTGTTCAGGTTATTGTGAAGCTGCTGGCCAGTGGGGAGGAGGAGGCTCGGACGGGGGTGCTGACCCCCATGCCCTGCCCACACACACTGCCCACTCTGCTGGACGAGGCTGGGGTGACTCTGGTGCCCTACCGGCTGATAGAGGAGCGAGGCTGGGCTGTGGACCTGGAGGAGCTGCACCGAGCTGTGACCACTGCTAGGGGGCGCTGCCAGCCCAGAGCAATTTACATCAGCAACCCAGGAAACCCCACAGGTGAACAACACACAGCAGGTAAATTAAATGCATATTGCTATAATCACTATTCATGCTGCTGTTTATCTTTCTAGGTCATGTGCAGACCAGGGAGTCAATAGAGGAAGTGATTCGGTTTGCAGCAGCCGAGCGACTCCTGCTGTTTGTTGATGAGGTGATTATGCACTTTGTCCTCAGATTGGACTTTACTTCAAGAAGTGGCAGCTTTCTTTACCCATCAGTTCTTTTCTTTTGCCTGCCAGGTCTACCAGGACAGCGTGATTGGACTGGACAGAGAGTTTATTTCCTATAAAAGAGTCCTGTTTGAGATGGGCAAAGAGTACGCAGACACAGTGGAGCTGGTCTCCTCCCACTCTTTATCCTGCACCTGCATAGGAGAGTGAGTCTGTCTCAGAATCATCAACAGCATCTTACATACATCCTTCATGTTCACAGACACACAGAACATAATGTTTTTTTTTTTTTTATTAGTGTCAGTATATCTCATTGAATTAGTGAAAATGATTATGCATTATTCCATCTCTCCATACATTTAGACTCAGTGGCCCTCAGCTTTTCTTTCAGTCACAGTCTTCAACCATTTTCACCTTTTTTTTTTACATTGTTCAGTTTAACCTTCTTGACCTCCAAACCTGCTGACGGGCTTAAAGAATCATCAAAATTATCCCATTCATCTGACCCAAACATAGAAGAACTATTATTTTATAATGTGCCATGTGTGATGTGCAGCCAACTAAATCTAAGCTTAACAAATCTAATCCTGATATTTCATCAAAATCACTTTATTCTTCATTTTATTTTAAAATGTAAAACAACAACAAACAAACAAAAAAAAAACCCCTCATAAAAATAAACACTCAGCAGTGACCAACAGTTGTGTGACAAAAATTCAGGTGAACTGCAGGCTGTGTTTGCACAGAGCATAAGGAAGATGACAAGACACAAATGAGAAAGAAAAAAAGAAAAACAAAACACATTCTTGATCAATAAAGATCTGTCTAGAGTTGATGTGCAGATGAGTGGGCAAAACTCCAAGTTTGTAATAACTGTAAATATGTAAATAAAACATCTATACACTGTGGAGGCCCCCATTTTGTTTCCAATGTTAATAACATCTGTGCACACTTGGAAAAAGCTGGGCATGCTGATTCCATTTCTTTCTCTTTCTTTGCCCCCAATTTTTGCAAAGCAAATAAATTCCGCTCTCATTTTGTATAATTTATGTCAGTATCACTTTATTATCCTGCACAAAAGACTCTCTACTTCTAGCCATGGCTGTGCTGTTTCCATAGAGATGCAGGACTTTCATTTTTAATATCCAATATTGCTAAAAAGGGCCCACATTGAGGAAAGAAATTGCCTAGGAACTGCTTGGTGGGTTAATGAGAGGGTTAATGCACAGAACCAGTGTGAATGGCTTGAACTGAAGAAGACGCTTGTACCATTGAAATGTTGAGCATAATGTCCCTAATTTATCCATTTCCATTGGAAATGTAGGACATATGCACATATATATTCACCATTCACACATCCTTTGCTGTTTGTTGCAGTTACAGTACTGGCAGTGCTTAGTGTAATGAAAACTTGAAATTATTAATCATGAACCCATATTGTCATGGATGTATCCCCACTTCACACATATGCCTTTACCAATTAAATCTGAATAAAGTAAGCACCATTAAAATCAAATGTTTACTTGGGGTCCTTAACTTGGGCAATCCAACTAGCAAGGGTCTGCTGATCCCTGTCAAAGTGCCTTTACTTAAAAATCCTATTAAGTCTTACATGAGAACAAATGAAGTACATGTAATAAACTCTGGAGGGTGAGAGTGGATGGACACACAGTAACCTTCCAGGAGTGATGCTGTAGTAAGTAAACAGAGTGCACCGCAAGGGAGCAGCGCCATTTTTATAGGTCACTGTTGTACACACATATGTTGCATTCTATCGGCTGGGATTTTTAACAGGGTTGGTTCACAAAGATCTGAGAGTAAGAGCAGAAATCTCAGAGCAGGAGTTTTGTAAGTACACAGAAGCAGACTGATTGCAATGTTTGTGCAAACAACAGTGTATCTGAGTTCAGACAAACATTTGAGTAGGAGCACACCAGAGCAGGAGGTATTTAGAGGACAAGGTTTTTAGGGGAACCTTTACAATCTCTGAACATACAATGATAAAAATAATGCTCTTGGATTCCAATACTGTGCCCTTGAATAAAGAGAGGACAATAAGTTCATACAAAACAGTTTTTTAGAGGTTTGAAACAGATGATACAGTGAACGAAAGGAACAGTTCTTCAAAGGTTTTATCCTTTATCAGATGTCCACAGATGTCACCATGACTACTTTATTCAAATCAGATGTCAGTCATGGTGACACACACTTTGGTGACATGCAACTGCCACAAGGGAGCAACAGACATAGTTTGACATGACGTCTGTATGTACAGTCTGTCGTTTCTGACTTTCACACCGTGAAAGCATGCATGTAAGAAACAGGCAAGTGAAAACTCACCAACATGTCTCAAACAACGCCAACCCAACTGCCCATGTCACACACATCCATTCAGATGTCAATTGAATTTATATTAGTGAAACTCTTCTTTAAAACAGCTGCCTGCTTTTCCACTACACCATTCGACCAATGATGTAAAAGTGTAATAAATAAATGAATGAATAAACCAAATACATCTGGTATGTGTGCCCCAGGTGTGGTCAGATGGCAGGATACATGGAGATAATCAACATGGACCCAGAGGTGACGCATTTCGTTGATACCATGCTGTGCACTGACATCAGTGCTCCAGTCACAGGACAGCTCGCTCTGGATCTCATGCTCAAGCCACCAAAGCCTGGAGACACTTCATATGACACATACACTCAGGTGAGCTAACAAGAAGGTCCTACAAGAGAAGCTGGCATACATTGTTGTATTACGCCTTAAAATCAACTCTCTATTGTTCTGTTCACCACAGGAGATCCTCCTCACTCTGACCACTCTGTCCCAGAATGCTCAGCGGGCTCTGGAGCTCCTGAATGATCTACCAGGGATGAGCTGCCAGCCAGTGATGGGGGGAATCTACGTTTATCCACATCTGTATTTACCATCTGAGTTTAGGGAGGAAGCCAAGGTGGGAAAGGTTATAAGAACCTTCATGTTCATGTAAAAAAAAATGTAGTGTGATGTGATGAAAGCTGGTACTTGAAGGACCATACCAAAGGTTTTGCATTATTTAACAATCATACCAAAAACTGCCAAATTTTTTCACAGTGCTGTGTATAGTATTTTTTTTTCCACGTATACTGTTTCATGTTTTCCATCAGCTTTATCTTTATCTTAGTGAATACTATCTTTCTCTTATTATTATGCTGTGACTGTTAAGTTAAAGTCATCTGTAAATTATATAAGTTCTTGTTCAAATGTAACAAGTAGACAGACATACTGGCCACTGTAACGGCCTATTGTTGCTCTTCAAAGATACGCATGTGACTATTTTACACCAAAATGTACTTATAAAGTTAATAAGCATTACTTACAAACTTACGATTTTACAAAGTTGAAATTTGTAAGCTGATGATATTTTTGAGACCTGCATTTGTATAATACTGTCTTTGGTTCTGGTCAATGAGCAACAACTTTTTAAAAAATTATACACACCAGCATTCACACAACAGTGAGTGCTGCAGAAAGTAGTTAAATAATAAAATGCTCTCTATGTCTGTTTTTAGACGCTAGAAGTGGAAGCAGATGTTCTGTACTGTCAGAAGTTACTGAAAGAGGAGCGAGTGTTGGTAGGTGCAGGGCACCATGGTGGAGCAACCAGCAGCCACCACCATCTGAGGTGAGACTAAATGTAATATCACTACTTTTACAGGGTTCTGTATGTTGCATTTTCTCAAAAACGTTGACGGTCTTGTGTTTTCTGTCACTCAGGTTATGCATCCTTGTTCCTTGTGACACCATGGAAAAGGTCCTGGCTCGCCTCTGTTCCTTTCACCTTCGCCTCATGGATGGCCACTGTGGCCCCGAGAGAAGTGTGAAAGACAAAAACAATCAGAAAAGATCTTAACATGCAATTCAATTCATCCATCCATCCATAATCTGTACACCGCATAAGCCTCACTAGGGTCATGTGGGGGCTGGAGTCTGTTGACACACATACTATGTATTAATAGAGAAATAAATCAACATGTATGAAAATTGTGTGAGTTTCCACAGTCCCTTTTCATCGTGTACTGAATGGTGGGAGAACACAGCAGTTGCAACAAGCTCAACAGGCTGTGACAAGATTTATAACTTAAACAGATTAAATAGTAGTTTTCACTCCAGGTCTAAGAGCTCCAGTCTGCAGATCAGGCTTCAGATAATATGTAGTTTTTACCTCACGGTCTGTTACACTCTTTTTCATAAAAATTCAGTACACTGTGACATCAGGGGGTCAGGGGTTTCCCATCTCTCTGCAGTTTGCACTGCACCAGACCCCAGTGTCCCTGTAGGTGGTGGACCAGTGGGCCGTCCTGGCTGTGGAACACTGGACCAGCATGTTACCCTCACAGATTTGCTGAGGGGGTCATTTAACTTTGGCTATCCAGCACATGAGTGTTTTGTGGACCTGAAGAAAGCCTATAGCCCTGTGTTGATGTGGCAGTAAGGGGTACCAGGTCATTGCTATAAGCCATCAGTACAATCAAAGTCACAGCTGTATTGATGTTCTTTAAACAGAGTCAACAACATTTCTTGTGGCTGTTGGACTTTGCCAGAGTTAGTTGTCACTTTTCTCTGATGCTGTTTGTGATGTTAATCAACAGGATCTCAAGGTAAAGCTGAGGAGAGGAGGGTACTCTGTTTGGGAACCTAATTCACATCTGTGCTTTTTGCAGATAATGTCGTTCTGTAGAGTTAATGATGCTGTAATCTAAGATGCACACAGGGGCACTTTTGAAGCAATGACAGTCCATGGTTCTCTGCCAGAAACTGGTAGATTGCTCCCTCAGGGTCAGGGGTAATGTGCGGGAGTCTAAGTATCTTGAGATTTTGTTCACGAGTGATGAGAAATTGGAGTGTGAGAAGAACAGACGGATTGGTGCAGCATCAGCATCAATGTGGGCACTGTACCAGACCATCGTGGTGAAGAGGGAGCTAAGCTGGAAGCCAAAGCTCTTGATTTAACAGTCGGTTTACATTCCAAAACTCACACATAAGCCTGAGCTTTGAATAGTAAACAAACAAAGAGATCATGGATACAAATGTCTAAATGAGTTTCCTCCGTTGGGTGGCTGGGCTCAGCCTTAGAGACAGGGCGAAGAGCTTTAACAGCTGGAGGGAGCTTAGAGAAGCATCACTGCTCCTTTGCATCAAAAAAAGACAGCTTAGGTGGTTTGTGGATCTGATTAGGATGCTTCCTGGTTGCCTTTCTTTAGAAGATTTTCAGGCACATTGCAGAAGGAACTGGAAAACATTGTTGGGAGAAGAGACGTTTGGACTTGTGCTCAGCCTGCTGCTTAAGTGGAAGAAAATGAATGGATGCCTGTGACAAATCATGTCTTTTTTCAGCGTAAACATTTAACAAATTTTTAGGAATTTTTCTTGTGTTTTTCTTCAAATAAAAAACAACAAATGCCAAGATTATGATTCAGAAAATCATAGCCTTAACAATCCAGCCAATAGTCCAACAGTGCTGTGAAACTGCCTGTGTAATTTGTCCTGCTACAATTTCACAATGCATCAAAAGTCATCCTGCTGGCTACCATCAGCATCGCTGACATGAGCAGCAGGCCATTCAGTAGATGATTCACTCACTTGTTGACTCCTGTTCTGCTTGCTGCCTGGGTTAAGTTGGAGAAGAGGAGTTAAATGTTTGGAAAATATTAATACAGTTTTCTAACAGTGTTTCTTTAGTGAATATCAAGAGGAAGGTTGGAAGGTGAGGTTAATCATTAAACCTGGAACTGATTCGCTCCTCCTGACAACATTACAATTTCTGACAGAACATTACGTCAACGTACATCCACTTTCCCTGTTCAGGTGTCGTAGGCTTTAGTTGATAAACCTGTTTCTTATTGGGAACACTGGATTATATAACCGGCTTTACAGACACTTCACATAACTGAATGTAAGGAGTTTCTAATTAACAGCAGTACAACAGGTCAGGCTGATAAAGCTACTAAGAGACAAAAAAAAAAAACAACAACTTTACATTATAAAAAGGATTAGTTCATTTGACCACTCAATTTTGAACAGGCTGAAATTTAATCAGTTTTATTTATTGATTAAATGTTTAAAACATTTTCTCATTGTTTACATTTTGAAGCATTACTTTTTTTTTTTTAGTTTTGTCTTATTTGAGGCCTGAGAAGTGAGCAGGATGCTCTCTGTCAGGAACTGGAGGGCCTAATAGAAAAAGGAGCCTGCAACCTGCTCGCCTTCAGCTCGGCTACTGTTTCTCCTCATCATCTTCTTGCAGCCATCACTCAGACACGGTGAACTTGAACTTTGCCATAAACTGTGAGTATGCGCCATTGTTGTTGCTCGGCTCCAGTGAAGCGGCTCCCTGTTTTGGCCACCACGATCCCGAATTCATCCAGGCCTGCAACGTGGCCTTATTTTCTTGAATTTACATT